AGGCATTTAAGTACATATTTGAACATTGTGATTTCACCTTGTTGGTCTTTGAAGTCAGAGAAATATAAATTGCGTTCCACTTTGAACATTACAAATCTGTCACCTATTTTACCAGGCCATATAGATGCAGCTGAAATTTCAAAAAGTGAAAAAGCACTTTCTTTTCTGCATGATTTAACTGTAATATTTTAACACATCTTCAAATTGCCCTTGCTACTCTCTTGAAAGGTAATATGTTAAAACTGCAAACACTCACTCAACTGGTTGTTAGAAAGGAAATTTTATTTTAAGTGCAATTAGCATCAAAAAACAATTGCAACCTTAAAACACAAAAATTGATTAAGCATTCTATATATTTTTTTACAGGACCAGGATATTATTCCTTGGGATATGTATTCTTGTCAAAATATTGCTATCATATCAATGTTTGAAAACTGACTCTCTTGCTCTGCGTAGACTTTGAACACAGGAGATCCCACAATGAGCAAAACAAAAAAGCAAATTAGTCATCCAGGCAAGAAGCAGGAGAACTTGTTTTCCAAGAAGGTGAAATTAATTACTTATGTCAGCTGCACATACTGAAAATGACATTTACCTCATAGAAGAGAATTTGAAGGTACTTAACAATATAAATACTAAAAAACTAAGCCAAAAAGCAATTATCAAGAACAAGATCATAAAAGGTCCATGCAATGAAAGTTATAGTAAGAAAACGAAATGTTACAGTATCATGTCATGTGACTCACTGTGACTAATATTCCACTAATCAAAATAATGTGAACGTCATATATTTATCTAAGCAGAAAATTATTAAATGAATTTGCCCTGGTTTGAATGAAAAAGTGTATAATGAGAGTGAGGAGGCAATATGATAAGAGGTGAGACCTCTCTCTACAGTAGGAAATCAAGAGCTGACTTTTCAAAATCAAAATTATGTTGTAAAAAATATATATTGATACCAATGAGTATGAGTGCACACACAGTAGACATACCCTAAAAGAGTTGAAAGTATCTTCTCTGGGGAGAAAGTAAACCGGTGGGGGAAGAGACGAGAACATTTTTCATAACAAGCCTTTGTGGAACCTTCATAAACACACTCTCTGTCTCTCTCTCTCTCTCTCTCTCTCTCTGTGTACTTTTAAAACTAAACAAGCTAAGTAAAAGATTTAAAGATTAGTCCAAAGCGAACCAATACCTAACTACTGACACACAGAGTAAAGTTTTCAATTTCAATAAGAATTTTAACTACACGATTTTAGAGACACACATTCATCAGATAGGTCAGGAAAGGTTGAGCATAACACCTAGAATGCAGACTGAAGCAGTGAAATCAGCTAAAAAGTGAAGAGAGTGTGTTTTAAGGGGTTAACTTGGAAAAAACAATGTGTGGTTTGAACAGGAAAGTTGCCTACAGCTGATGCTAAAAGTTATTGTGGCTTCCAAGAGCAGAACACAATAGAGGAAGAAAGGCTAGGAGAGAATTTTGGACAGGCTTATGAAGAGCTGGTTGTTGGACAGTTTTTCCAGATTTAACAGAAATTTAGTTTACATCTGGGTTTCCTCTTGTTATCTCAAACACTAATGTACAGGAGTCAGGCTAGTTCTTCCTAACTGGATACAATTCTAGCAGCTCTAAAACAAGCAGTTTTCCACAGACGTCCCCTGGAATTTGTAGTAGAAAAAATCCCTGCCAGGAGTCAGAAAACGCTCTACCTGGTCAGGCTTGCTTCTGCTCTGTGTTGACTTTGACCTGGTTCTTTCTCCAGGCCTAAAGGACACCTCTGTCAAAATGGAAAGGTGGCCTCTAGAGAACCTCTTTAAGTGCTGTTCAAGTTCAAGTCCCAATACAATCTTTTGCCAACTCTTCTTTGTGCTTTTTACGGCACAAAGGAAAGCATAAGATAGTCTCTTTTAAAATTGTTCACTTTGTGTGAAACCCTCCTTTGGCCTTGATTTAAACAATTGTTCAATTCCCAAAATTGTCAATGCTTTACAAAATGGAATAACCTAACCATCACCGTTGGTTAGCAAATGGAATGAGCAGGGCCTGAGATTAGGGGTCATCCATTTCACTTTACGTAGTTTTAGGTCGATTTCTGTGCCAATATATCAAAAATTAAGTTGACAAACATGACAGATACAAATTCTAGGTAGCACATGTTTGTAATAGTGGAACTACAGTAATGGAAACCCCAGGAAGGAGGAAAAAAGGAAAAGAGAACCGATGGAGCATCAAATAATATCGTAAAGCATAACATCTGTGAAGGCAAGAAGACCAACACACTGGTATGACCAGCTGTCAAAAAGGAAAAGGGTGAAGAGGAGGGGTAAGGGAGAGTAATGGAAGGGGTGGAATGGAGCAAACTAAAGTAATAATCATAGTGGGGCTAACACGAGAAACCCCTTTGAACCTGGACTTAGAAGTTAATAGTGAAAGACAAGACTGTAAAAATTGGTTCAGCTTTGGGGGGATGTGTTGGAGAGGGAAGGGTGAGGAATGAAGGAGATTATGTGAAGGAATGTGGTTACGGACTTCATACACTTATAGTGAAATAACCTCTTGCAATTTGCTTGAAGAGGGACTCTAGGGCGGGGCTGAGAGGAGACGATGGGGGCGGTATCTACAGCAACGTACAATATAAACCTATTTAGAGATTGTCCACAAATGATCTCCTATACAACGAAAGCCTAATAACTGTTTTTTTTTGTAGTATAGGATTTAAACTCAGGCCTACACCATGAGCACTCCACAGTCCTTTTTTGTGAGGGTTTTTGAGATAGGGTCTCATGAACTTTTGCCCAGGCTGGCTCTGAACCTTGCAACCTCCTGATTTCTGCTCCTAAATTGTTAGGATTACAGGAATGAGCCACTGGCACTGGGCTAAAAGATTTTAAAAAGTAAATAAATAGAGGCTCAGGTGAGGCTAAAAAAATAATATATAGCCTAATGTCCTGTCTTTTAAGAAATTTTAATTACGCACATAAGCTTTAAACTTGATAACAAGTTTTAAAACATTATGCCTTTTATTATGATATAGCACTCATGAAAACTCACCAATCACTTGCGACTTTTCTTGATTTCATGTAATTTCCTGCATCTGATTTAATCACATCTTTTCTCTTATTATTCATCGATTGCATTCCTGACCAGACATCTGATTCCAGTGTTAATGAAACTTGGCTTAACTATAGATACATCTTTGTTCATTCACCCTTGTCAGTCAATTGTTTAATAGGAAGGGCCATACACTCACTCTTGCCAGTTCTGAGTGATGCCTGCCGTCGTACTAGAACTGAAAACAGCAAGATCAGAGTAAGTTTCAGTTTAGCTATACTAAAAGACCTTCGGCTGATAATCATTTATTAATATTTAAGGCCTGTAAATTTTACTCTAGGCATTCCAATCAAAATACAAAAAGGACAAGAAGAAAGGAATGTAGAATTGGTGTCCCTTTGTCGAATTATAAGCATGTGAGCTAGGCTAAGTACTGACTTTACTCTGTCTCCTCACTTGTGACCTGAAAGTCCCTGAGCTAATCTAATACTGCTTGTGTTAATGGCGTAATGAAAATCAAGGAATAACCCTCCAAATTACTTTTTGTTCTTTTCTACAATGTAAGGTAGAATGTATTCTAAACTTTTTCAAAAATAAGATAACAAGATGTTCATGTATAGAAAAGGGAAGCAGAGATTAAGTTCCTATGTTTAATCATTGTTAACCTATTATTATTGTATATGAGTATTCAGGTTTAGCTTGAGCAGCTGGTATTGCATATGTATAAGATCCAGAATTTCAGTACCTTCAATTTTAATGCTAAACAGGATAATATTCTTGTGTCCTGATGGCTCATTGAGCTGACAGTCTCCCTACGGCAATGCAACATGACTCTTAGGGAAAAACCTCATTTCCAGGTCTTTTCTACGAGTCCTTCACTGAATGAAACACAAAAGGTATGGCTTTATCAGCTAAAAATGACCCTGGGCTGGAGCTCTCAACTGCAGGGTTGAACAAATTGGCACACCTGTTAAGTTT